CGAGACAGCTGGGCGGGCGCGGTGGCGGGACTTGCCGCAGGCAGCTGGATATCTACAGCTGGTGCTACTGGAATTCCTGGGCGCCCCTCTCGGGGCGAGGGCCAGCCAACGTCCTGTCGCATCGCCCCCCTTCCTAGGAAGAGGGGGCCAGAGGATGAGGAGGAGGAGGAAAGGGAGGAGGGGGACGAGGAAGAGGAGGAGAACGGAGGGGGGGAGGAGGACGGAGGGGGGAGGAGGACGGAGGGGGGGAGGACGGAGGGGGGGAGGAGGAGGAAATGAGGGAGGAGGGGAGGGGCAGGACGACGAGGAAGAGGAGGAGGAGGAGAGAGGAGAGAGGAGAAAGGAGAGAGGAGAGAGGAGGAGGACCAGGAGGAGGGCGAGGAGGAGGGACAGGACAGGACAGCCATCCACGGATGAAAGTCAAGGCTTTGCCGCCAGGGGAGCGCCGCCAGGTAAATTTGGGCCCGGTGGTCAAGGCTGGCCCTTCAGAAGCCACGGGAACAGTTCGATAACGCGAGTCCTCTTCCCTCTTGCACAACCCCTTCTTCCCCGTCGGGGAGGGGTTTACCCCTCTCCCTACCCCCTCCCCTGGACCTGGACGGAGGGGGCCGCGATGTGTCGAAGGAGGAGGAGATTTGCGGAAGATGAGGAGGAAGAGGATTATGATGAGGAGGGAGGAGGATGAGTAGCAGGGGAAAGAGGGCAGATACGCGGCGGCGGGATTGGCCCAATGCCAGTCTACACATATATAGACATGCGTACACACATATGCATACATGTATACGTTCTGGCAGTGGCGTGATGGGTTGTAGGTATGGAGTGGGCATCAATCAATAACTTGTGATAAGAAAGGCCCTTGCACCCCTCACTGGGACATTCGCACTTTATGATGCGAAGTCCATGGGCGCGGCTAGAACCTAAGCGCGCGCGAAGCGCGTGTGGTTCTAGTACATGTATATATATATATATATACATACACATATATACATATATATATATATATGATCCGGGCGTTTGCGGCGGGCTTCTTCACAGTTTCGCAGACTGCAAACGTCCCCGCCGCACCCTCACATTCTTATCCGCGACTGCGGGGTGCTACGGTAAGCATCATTGTCATCGTCGTTGTCGCCGCTCTCGCCATCATCGCCGTTATCGTCGTCGCTGTCGTCGCCGAAGACGTCGTCACCACCGTTGACCGCCCGCCCGAACCATTGATCCGCACATAATATGATGAATCTAGTCGGTTCGTTGCGCCTGATGAGTTTTGTCAGACAGACTGCGTTTGGGTGTCTGGAATGTTTTCCGAGCAGTCGGTCGACCATTCTTCAAGTTCGGCAAACAGTAATTATAAGACCCTCCACATCTCAGCACACAGCTTGCCTCACGTAGCTGGCACAACACGAATGGTGATTTCAACGGTTGGTTTGCATCCGATATATGTGCATTCTGTTTTTCTGCAGTTGAATGTTTATGTATACATATAACGGCGCACCGGGTCGGGGGGCCCGGGGCCGGGACCTCTACCACAAATGTGCGCCCCGGGGGGCCCGGAGGCTCGTCGGGGCTTGCCGGAGGCCTCCCCAGTCAGACAAGACGGCCCAAGAAGCGCCCAAGACGGCCCAAGAAACTTCCAAGAGGCCTCCAAGAGGGCTCCGAGATGCTGAAGATGGCCTCCAGACGTCCAAGGACGCCCCCAAGAGGCCCCAAGAAGCCTCCAACATGCGTCCCAAGAGGGCCCCTAGACGCAAAAAATTGCCCATTCCCTTCGTAAAACGTACATTTTCAACAAAGTTGTCTTTTGGGCTTTCCGACGTTACAGGACGGCCCAAGAGGCGCCCAAGACCGCCCCAAGACGGCCCAAGAAGCTTCCCAGAGGGCCCCAGGACAGCCCAAGAGGGCCCCAAGACGGCCCAAGAGGCGCCCAAGATGGCCCAAGAGGGCCCCAAGACGGGCCCAAGAGGGGGCCCAGAGGGGGACCACGAACCGCAAGCTCGAGCCTTCCGCCCCAAGAGGCCGCCAGGAGGCCCCCAGGAGGCCCCTCAAGAGGCCCCAGGAGACCCCAGACGTCCAAGGACGCCCCCAAGAGGCCCCAAGAAGCCTCCAACATGCGTCCCAAGAGGGCCCCTAGACGCAAAATTGGCCCATTCCCTTCGTAAAACGTACATTTTTAACAAAGTCGCCTTTTGGGCTTTCCGACGTTACAGGACGGCCCAAGAGGCGCCCAAGACCGCCCCAAGACGGCCCAAGAAGCTTCCAAGAGGGCCCCAGGACAGCCCAAGAGGGCCCCAAGACGGCCCAAGAGGCGCCCAAGATGGCCCAAGAGGGCCCCAAGACGGGCCCAAGAGGGGGCCCAGAGGGTGACCACGAACCGCAAGCTCGAGCCTTCCGCCCCAAGAGGCCGCCAGGAGGCCATCAGGAGGCCCCTCAAGAGGCCCCAGGAGACCCCAGACGTCCAAGGACGCCCCCAAGAGGCCCCAAGAAGCCTCCAACATGCGTCCCAAGAGGGCCCCTAGATGCAAAAATTGGCCCATTCCCTTCGTAAAACGTACATGTTCAACAAAGTTTTTTTTTTTTGGTTTTCCGACGTTACAGGACGGCGCAAGAGGCGCCCAAGACCGCCCCAAGACGGCCCAAGAAGCTTCCAAGAGGGCCCCAGGACAGCCCAAGAGGGCCCCAAGACGGCCCAAGAGGCGCCCAAGATGGCCCAAGAGGGCCCCAAGACGGGCCCAAGAGGGGGCCCAGAGGGGGACCACGAACCGCAAGCTCGAGCCTTCCGCCCCAAGAGGCCGCCAGGAGGCCCCCAGGAGGCCCCTCAAGAGGCCCCAGGAGACCCCAGACGTCCAAGGACGCCCCCAAGACGCTTCGCGTCACCAATTTCTTCTCGCAACGATTCCTGGGTCTGTGACTCGACAGAACCTAAGCGCGCGCGAAGCGCACGCGTGGTTCTAGTTTGTATATATATATAATCATGAAATATGGGTGGATACCAGGTCCCCAGCCCGGGGGCCCCGCCCACCTCAAAACCATCGTTGGGTTCGCAAGATGCGTGTAACAGGTGCACGTCAAACAGATCCCACGGGCCATGCTGATGTTTTTTCCCAATGTACTGGTCTCGCGGGAAACGCTGCAGGATTCCATGTTCCCTTGGTTCATCGTCAGGCTTCGAACCTCTATTCGGATACGTCTCTTCGCCGTCTTCGGCCCCGCGGAGAAGGAGGAAGAGGAGGAGGAAGAGGGGGAGGAGGAGGAGGAGGAGGAGGAGGAGGAGGAGGAGGAGGAGGAGGAGGAGGAGGAGGAGGATGGAGGAGGAGGAAGATGAGGAGGGAGGAGGATGATCAGGAATGGTAGGAGGAGTGAGGATGAAGTTGCGGAGGAGGAGGAGGAGGAGGAGGAGGGAGGAGGAGGAGGAGGAGGAGGAGGAGGAGGTCGAGGAGGAGGTCGAGGAAGGGGAAAAAGGAGGAGTAGGGGGAGGAGGGGGGTGAGAATCTGGAGGAGGATGGGAGTGGACAGGAGGGAGGGAGGAGGAGGAGGAGGAGGAGGAGGAGGAGAGGAGGAGGTGGAGGAGCAACAGGAGGATTAGGATTTGGAGGCGGCTGAGGAGGAGAAGGAGGAGGACGCCGACGAGCCGGAGGATGCGGAAGGGGAGAGAGGGGGGGAGGAAGGGAGGGGGTGGAGGAGAGTACGAGGAGGAGGATGAGAAGGAAAAGGACGGGGGAGGAGGAGAAGGAGTGGGAGGGGGAGGAGGAGGAGGAGGAGGAGGAGGAGGAGGAGGAGGAGGAGGAATAGGCGGGGGAGGAGGAGGAGGAGGAGGAGGAGGAAGAGGAGGAGGAGGAGGAATAATAATAATAAGAAGAGAAGTCATAATAATAATCATACGAATAATACTAACAATAATAGTAAGAAGAAGACTAATACGAAGAATAATAATAACACTAATAAGAATAATAAAAATCATAAGAAGAATACTGATAAGGATAATAATAATACTAATAATACTAACAATAATAATAAGAATAAGAAGACGAGGAGGAGGAGGAGGAGGAAGAAGAAGAGGAGAGGGGGAGGATAATAATAATACTAATAATACTAACAATAATAATAAGAATAAGAAGACGAGGAGGAGGAGGAGGAGGAAGAAGAAGAGGAGAGGGGAGGACGAATAGGAGGGGGAGAAAAGGAGGAGAGGAGGAGGTGGAGGAGGAGGATGGGGGGGAAGGAGGGGGAGGGAGGAGGGGTCGGAGAGGCAGGAGGAGGCGGAGGGGGAGGAGGAGGTCGGGGAGGAAGTCGGATTTCTGGGCTAACGCCACATACTTGGACCTGTGCCTGCTCATGCCGTCTTCTGAGCTGTTCCGTGGCCACGGCTAGAACCTCAGCGCGCGCGAAGCGCGCGTGGTTTTTAGTGTATGCAGGTACATATATGTGTATGTATATATATATATATATATATATATATATATAAGTGTTATATATATATATATATTGCTACATATCTGTGCAGTAACTATATGTGTGTATGTATATATTGCGGAGGTTACACCGCATAGGTTGCACCACAACCCTTGCACCACATGGCTCGCGTCACAGGGGTTCCCGCGAGAGTTCTAGCACAAAGTCGGTCGAGGGCATTGGCCTCGGCTGCGTGAGCAGTGCGGAGCAAAAGACAACATCTCGCGCCCAAACAGATTGCGTTCCATGTGCCGCAAATCCTCGGGAGTACCCCCTTCCACTGTCTGGAGAACGCGCTGGCACACCGAAGACGCACGTGGGGGCGCCTCGCAGCAGAAGCGCGCCGGGGCCTCGATGCGTCCGGCGGCTCTGCATCACCGAGCGCGTTCCTGTACTCGCCAATGGCTTACTCGCAAATGTCCAAGCAACAGTGTGTGCCTCGGTGCAGTGGAGCCTGCGCGCTTCGACGCAAGAGGATCCAGACCACCTGCGTGCAGCTTCTGTGCGAGTGGTAGAGCGTGCGCGTCAACGGAAGCGCTGCTTCGCACGCAGAGCTGCGGCTCAGCGCTGCGGCGGATTACCGCCAGCTCGGGGATGCCGCCAACGAGGGCCTCCTGAAGCGCACCGTCGAGGAGGCGCGGGCCGACACCGCGGCCATGCGCAGGGTCTCCCCGAAGCCGCCGCGCCTGCTGGTGCCGCCGGGCTGTGCGCGATCGTTGGGCGAGGACGCGTCGGCTGGCGCCGAGGCGATCCCGCGCGGCGCGCTGGACTGGGCGTGCGCAGGGAGGATCCTTCGCCTGCTAACGGGGGTCCGCGCTTGGCCTCTCTGGCCTCTCTCGGGGGTCCTCGCGAGGATCTCTTGGATCTGCGCTCGGCCTCCCTGCGCTTGGCCCCTGGCGCCGTCCGCGCGCCAGTGGGGGGGTCCCGCGCAGATCCAAGAAATCTGAGGGGTCAGGCAAAGATCGGCCCCACTTCCTGACTTTTCCCTGTTCGGGCCCGCAGCTGTCCGAAGTAAAAACTCGTCGTTCCTGTTTCCTGGGCAATTCCGTTGGAAACTCTTCGCCCGCGCCAGCTTGCCCTTCGCTGCTTCCGACCCCCAGAAGTCGGTCGTTAAAGGCTTACCGATTTCTGCCGTCCCTTAACTCGAGCTGGAGCCGCCACGATCTGCAAGTTGTCCTGGAGATCTTTCTGGGCTATCCTGGAATAGTCTGGCTTTGTCAGGATTGACTTGGGCTTACCTGGATTTACCTGCATTCGCCTCGATGTATCCGGCTTGATACCCACAAGGCGAGAGGCGAAAAGTCGCCAAAGCCGCTAGACAGTCTGAAGCCCCACGTTAGCAGGCGAGTGAGAGGAGCTACTGGGGCGAGCCGCCACAGGTCCAGCCAGGCGGCGCGCCCAGGGCTGAAGGCAGAGGCGCAGGAAGAACCGGCACCGACAGACCTGTTCGGAGCTCCGCGTGGATTGTTCGGATCTGGAGTCCGGACCCCTGCCTTCGAAAAACGAACAACGCCATGAGCACGAACTTTTGGCGTTCCGCGCGGATTTCTTGGATCCGCGCTGGGCCCCCCCCCGGTGGCGCCTCCGGCGCCGCCCCTGGCGCACTCCGCGCTCGCGTCAGGGGGGGGTGCCCAGCGCATATCCAAGAAATCCGCGCGAAGCGCCAGAAGTTTGTGTTTGAGTCGGGCCTGTCCGTCTACAGGAGGAGTATTCAGAAATAGTCAACAAATAGACTTAGGTCCCAAGCGTTAAAAGCGAGAACTTATACATGCCACTGAGTTCAACCGTCCATCGTGTCACAGGCACCTGCACGGTTGTCGGGACATGGCTCGGTTGTCGAATTTGTGCAACCATTTGGGTGGAGATCCGACGATTCGTGCAGCTTTTTTGATTGGGAACCGATGAGTTGTTCAACCTTTTTGATTGGGAACCGACGGGTTGTGCAACCTTGTTCGTTTTCTCGGTTTGGAGTCGGTTTCCGAGCTTCTGCAGCCTTTTTGATTGGGAACCGATGAGTTGTGCAACTGTTTGGATGGGGAACCGATGAGTCGTGCAACCTCTTTCGTTTTCTCGGGTTGGGTTCGGTTTCCGAACTTGTGCGACCTTTCTGATTGGGAACCGATGAGTTGTGCAACTGTTTGGATGGGGAACCGATGAGTTGTGCAACCTCTTTCGTTTTCTCGGGTTGGAGTCGGTTTCCGAATTTGCGTGTGCAGTTTTTTTATGAGTTGTGCAACCTTTTTCCCAATCAATGAGGCTGCATAAGTTCGGGAACCGACCCCGACCCGAGAAAACAAAACAGGTTGCACAACTCCTGAGCTCCCAATCGAAAAGGTTGCACAACTCATCGGTTCCCAACCAGAAAGGCTGCACAAGTTCGGAAACCGACCCCAAACCGAGAAAACGAAAGAGGTTGCACAACTCATCGGTTCCCAATCAAAGTGGTTGCACAACTCATCGGTTCCCAATCAAAAAGGCTGCACAAGATCGGAAACCGACCCCATCCCGAGAAAACGAAAGAGGTTGCACAACTTGATGGTTCCCTGTCGCACAGGTTGTACGAATCATTGATTCCCAAATCAAAGAGGCTGCACAAGTTCGGAAACCGACCACATCCCGAGAAAACGAACAAGGTTGCGCAGCTCATCGGCTCCCTTATCAAACTGGTTTGCACAAGTAGAGATTCCTCGTCGTACGCCTCCGCGAAGTTACGTAATTTACGGGCCGGGCGCTAATTTACGGTATTTTGTCATATGCGAAGTTCGATCTAGATCAGGGGGGACGTTAACATTCCAGTTTGGGCGTGTTTTAGTTACTATTTTCATTTGTCGTCCAAATTCCACCTGTAGGGGGGGCATGCCCGACCCAAAGGTAAGGAGGGGGGGTCCCAGCTCTTCGCGCAGGCCCCCGATCAAGCAGGGATCCGCGCGGGCCTCCGACGGTCCGTGCCTGTGGGAAGTCGGGCCTGTCCCTCTACAGGGGGATCCTCCTCCTCCTCCCCCCCTCCTCCTCCTCCTCCTCCTCCTCCTCCTCCTCCTCCTCCTCCTCCTATTCAAGAATAGTGAACGAAAAACAGTCTGGGGACGATGCTCTGAGAATTGTCTGACCGTTTTGGAATATTGTTGTTGCTGTGTCTTATGTTTCGTCCCAAATCCGCCTGTAGGAGGACAGGCACGACCTACTGCTTGTGCCGCCGCTCCTCGAGAGGGGGCGGGCCTCCCCCGAGGGCTCCGAGGGGGGCTTCTGACGAACGAACAACACACACCCGTACCCATAGGGAGGTCGTTGGGAGGAGGACTGGCTATGGGTATGGGTGCGGGTTGTCGGACCCTGGGGAACGCTCCCGTTCGAGCGGGGACCCCTATCCGACAACACGCACCCATAGCCCTCTCCGATTTCCCTATGGGTATGGGTGTGTGTTGTTGGTTCGTCAGGCTTCTCCGATGGCGGGCGCCCCGCCGCGCCTGCCGAGCAGCCGCCTCGGAGCCCCCTCCCCGAGGCCGCAGGCGGCCTCTCCCAGGAGGGCGCGGGCCTCTGGGCAGACGACGACGACACCGATAACGACGACGACGACGACGACGACGACGACGACGACGACGACGACAACGACGACGACGACGGCGACGGCGACGTCGACGGCCCCACCAGCGGCGGCGGCGACGACGTCGAGCACCGGAGCTGTCAACCTGACGCCAATCCCAGCCACACGCCGCACCCACACCGCACCCACAGGGGGGGAGAGAGGGGGAGAGGAGGACCATAGGATCACCCCGCAAACACCCACAGCAACACACCACACCCACACCACATCCGCCGGCTGCCAGACGGGCCGATACTTCGTCGGGCATGTCCCCCTTATACTGGCGGATTTGGGATGCAAATACTTCAGACTGGTCAAACCATACCCCAAAGTGGCCACAAAAAAGCTCAGAAACTCGTCCCAAGACTATTGTTTTACTATGTTTGAAGATTCCTCCGTAGAGGGACGGGCACGACTTCAGCCAAGCCCCTCTGCCATTCCTGGGGGCAAGGTTTATATCGAAGAAAAAACATACAGTCAGGGCCCTGAAGAAGGAACCCTTTTGGTTGGGGAGGGGCTCCGCGTTCCTTAAGTGTTTCACAGCTTGCCTCAGGTTTTCCTTATGTTTTCGATCGGTAATCGAAGTTTAAATTATGGAAGTATGGGGCCTCGTTCCTTATTTAGGGTTCCTTAGGTCAACGCCCCGACTGTAAACGTAAACTTTCGGCGCTTCGCACGGATTTCTTGGATCCGCGCTTGGCGCCTCGGGCGCCGCCCCTGGCGCTCCAGCGCGGATCCAGGAAATCCGAGCGGAGAGCCAACAATTTATGTTAATGTGGCTTTTTCTTCTTCGATTATATCCATGGCGGGTGCGTCTTGAACCCTCCTCAGAGGGGGCGCCGCAGGGCCGAGGCGCTCTGGACACGGGTGAGAGTCGAGCCTCTGGGGGCCAGGTTGCTATCCATGTCTAGGGCGCCTCGGGTTCCCTGAAAAAAAAGGGAGCCCGAAACTCCGTGCTGCAGTGGACACGGGCACGAGTCTTGCCCGCACCTCTGCCCCCCCCACCCCGGCGTGCCGCCGACGTCCAGCCCCCAGCGTGGCTGCGGCGGAGCGCCTGCCGTGTCACACCGTGGTCTGGGGGCATTGCCTGGGTGACAACGCGCCCACCGAGACCTGCATGGAATTTGGCAGCCTGGTCGCCGCCATGGTCAAGGGAGCGGTCGCGAAGGTCCCCATTCGGCCACATGTGAGAGTGACCCCTTGCCGGCGTCTTCGTCGGTTCCTCGCCGGTGCTCTGCCCTCGGGATGCGCTGCAGCAGCTGCGCTTCTCCGGAACTTCTCCGACAGCGTTCCGGGGATGTTCGAGTCGTCCCGAGCGGCCGCCTCGGGCGGCGCGGGCAGACCAGGCCAAGGTGCGCAGGCCGCTGCTGTCGCGCCCAAGGCGATCAGCAAGCCGCGCACCAGAGGTCACTCCTTACCCAGGGTCACTCCTGCGTGTGGCCGGCGTTTCATCGTGCAGACCCGCGGCGTGCATTCGCGGATGTGTGGGTCGCTCGTCCCGAGCTCGCTCACCAACGTGTCTGCGGCCGCGCTGTGGGGTTTCGTGCGCACTGTCAGGCAGGAGCATCCGCAGATTCAGATCACACTGCTGGACTTCGCCGAGGAGCTCACGGCTGCAGAGATCCCACGTCAGCTTCGTCCGCCAGCGCCGGTCGACGAGTCCGCATATTACCACCGCATGTTGGGATGCAACTCCTGGGAGGTGGAATTCAGCATCGACGCTAGTACATCCGTGGCCAGAAACTGGCCGAATCTCGCATGATCCCGCTGAGTCGGTATGAATCATATTTAATTTGGCTTTCAGCCGCCTAATCGGGCAGAGTCCTGAGGGAATCCGGGCTAATCCGTGTTCATGGCTCCTTAAATGGGCTGTAGCGTCGAGCAGGCCCCTCAGGAGTTGCGTCCCAACGCTTCCGCTACGAGCCGCAGATTGTGGAGGTGCCGTCGCTGCTGCGACGCAGTCTGAGAAAAGACAGCCTCGTCCAGCGAGGAGGCAGCAGCGCGGCGGGGAAGCTGAAGAAGACGACGACCTGGGCGAGGCGGCCGTTCAACTGGGCAGGCCCTTCGCACAAGCTGGACAGCTGCTGGTTCCGGCAGGAGTGGCGAACCGTGGGCCCGGCGGAGGGCGACATCGGCCCCATGCCGCCGCCGCAGCCGTGTCGCGTGGCTGGCTCGTCGGCATCCCTTGGGCCCTTGCATCGTGAAAGGTAGCGGGGCGGACGGGTGGGCTGCAGGAGTCGGGGAGGAAAGACAGAAAGAGAGAGAGAGAGTATCATTGAAACCTCCGCCGTGAGCAGTCTGTCCGCGCGCTGCTCCGTCGTCTTGTCATCGAGTTGGGTGCCATTCAGCAGCAGCACGCTGACGGGTTCCCCGCGGCGACGTGTCATTCACGCAGCTTCTGCCCCCCCCCAAGAAGATGAGCCAGTTTCGGTCTTGTCGCAAGTCATGGGGGCCTGGCGCACCTTCATAACACCGTCTTTAGAGTGCAATCGCGTCGACTGGCGTCTGGCAGTCTATGAGGAAGCGCCGCTTTGGCGTCGACTTGGCGTCGGCGAGCGTCGGTTTGCAAGAGCAGGATTGCATGGGAGTCTCCCATGAGCTGCCAGCCAAATTGCATTGAAAACTTCGGGCGGGGCTATGACGAGAATGAATCGGTGCCAGAACGTTCCGGAACGCTCTCAAAGCGTTCTGGAGCGCTCTGAGAAGGCCGCGGCGCCCGAGACATCCTCCAGAGCCGCCGGATCTCGGAGATTCTCGATTTATCCTCACCCGATTTGACCCATCGGTCGTTGAAAGTAGGTATTTCTGGAGACCCAGCTTCCAATCCACTTTGAGGGCCTTCCTACTTCAATGATCGAGTGGCTTCAGCTTTCCCGTCCTCTTCAGGGGGCGGGCGGACACCTAATTTTTTTCCAACGCCTTCCTACTTCATGTTTCTACGTACTTCTTCCGACCGATGGGTATCCTCTTCCTGGCTTCACCTTGCGGGAGGGTCTTGACCGTTGTGGCCCCCCGACGGGCCCCAGGGCCGACCCGAAACAAGTTCTCGGGATGATTTCCAGGGGCCAGGCCGGGTTTTTTTGGGGGCACCCCGTCGGAACAGGGCATCGTAATGTCCGGGAGCGAGTCCTGAAGGGGGAACGGGTCCCGAGGGTGGTTCGCAGTTTCCGCGCGTGCTCTTCGTGCTTGCTGCATGCTCTTGTGCATCTTGCATCGTGTATGCTCTTGTGCACCTTGCTGTATATGCTCCCCTGGATGCTCTGTGCATCCCGAGGCCCCGAAAGAACCGGGCATCGCATGCCTGGGAACGGGTCCAGAGGGGGGCAGGCCCTGGAGGTTGCCTGCAGCTTCCGCGCGGATTCCTCGGGGCCGCCGCGGATTCTGGTGGGGTCGGCGCGTCCGCAGTCAGCGAGCTTATCCGGTCCACTGCAGACTCGAGCCATGAATTCAAACTCGACGTAAAAACTCAGCACCGTCCATGCAGCACCGAGAGGCGACGTGATTGACAGACGCCCGTTAGAGAAACGAGGGGCGGTATCCCATTCCTGTCCAGAGGGCCACTCGTGCACGCGACCTTCGGATCGCTGCAGCAAGGGTCGGCGCGGCGGGCGAGAGAAGCGGTCTTCTTCCGCGCGGCGGGCTGCCGTGTCTCGGCGGCCTCTGCGCGGCCGCCGCGTGCCTCCCTCGGGTCGGCCACCGAGGAGGAGGAGGAGGAGGAGGAGGAGGAGGAGAGGAGGAGGAGGAGGAGGGGGAGGAGGAGGAGGAGGGGGAGGGGGGAGGAGGAGGGGAGGAGGAGGAGGAGGAGGAGGAGGAGGAGGAGGAGGAGGAGGAGGAGGAGGTCGGCAGCCACGTCGGGGGGGGCCCGTCTCTTGGCCTCTCAGAGGGGGTCCGAGTACAGTCGGACCCAGGTACAAGATTCGGGGGCCCCCAAACGGGGTGGTGACCACACCGCGTGGTGAGTCGGTGGGGATGCGGGGTCACTGCACGGTTTTGGGACTCGAGTCCTCTCCGAGGATGTCTTGGGCGACAGGTGCCTCCAGGGTCCCAAGACCGTGCGGTGGCGGACCGTGCGGTGAGGTCTCTTGGGATTCCAAGGTCACCGCACGGACTGTCACCACACGGTTTTGGGATCCTCAAAAGGTCGAGGTCGGTTCGGGGAGGGTGCCTTAGTGTTCTCCGTGTGTGTTGTCTCTTGTTTGTGCATCCTGGGGAGGGTACCCCTGGATGCTCTGTGCGGTTTGGCCAGCGGAGGGTCGCATGTCTTGGAGGGGTGTTCTTCCGGCCTAGGTCCGACTGTACGGCAACAGTGTTGCATTCAGTGTTTTTGGAGCCAGCCACGCGGATCTGCCGCCCCCAGGAATAGTGCAAACGTCGGAGGCAAGCCCGCTGGAAGGAGCGTCTGGTAATCGATGAGGTAGCGCCGATTTAGCGTCGACATGCGCCTACTCGCACGAGCTAACAAGATGGTATTTGAGGCCCCAGGCCTCCCAGATGGGCTCCGAGTAGACGGGGGCGAAGGATCGCGCCGCATCGCCGATGCATCGACGATACGGCTCGATGCGGAGCCCGATGTTCTCCACGGCGACGTCGCCGATGCGTCGCCGACGTCGGCGATGCATCGACGATGCATTTACGATACATTGTCGATGCGGCGCGATCCTCCGACCCCATCTACTCGGACCCCATCTGGGAGGCTTCCATCTAGGCCTCCCAGATGGAGTCCGAGTATATTCACCAGGGGACGTTATCCCCAAACCCGTCCGTCCAGGGGTGTGTCGTTCTGGAGCTTCCAGGGAGTCAGAGGAGGAGAAGGTACTCATACTGCTACCCCTCCCTCGTTGTCCCCATGTTAAGGCGTCTTGGGAAGCCCTCGTCACCACCGCTGGATTCATTTCGAACTCCTTGTCAGAAAGCACCCCGGGACAAGTCCTGTTGTTTTCCCAAGGGGTGGTCAGGTGGCCCGTCTTTTCTCGAGTCCGCTTGTTGCTGCACCTCTTCTGTGTGGGAGGTGCCATGGATTCGCTGCGTGATCATGTCGTTACGTGCTAGGAGGTTCTCGGAAACCATAGATCGCAGCTGGCCAGGGCAGCATCTATGCGCAGCACCGCTCAACTGAGCGCAACGCTACACATCACCGATCAACACCTCTGAACACCGCTCCCTTGACTGATCGGCGTCGAGCAGTGTTACGCGGTGCAGGTTTCCGACTCGCTTCCCAGAGGCAGCTGTGGATCGGACATGTAAGGCTCCCGTCGGAGAGGGCATTTATGACGCCCTCGGCCTCGGGCTGCCGCACCCTCGGGTCTGGCCGAGGACCGGGCTGTCAAGGACCCGGGCGGAATGTTGCAGGGAGGCCAGCAAGTTCAGGATGAGGATCGCTCTCAGAGCGGTCTGGGTCGCTCTGAAACGGCAGTGGCGCTTGATACGTTTTGTTGACCCGGCTGTTCTCAGAGATTCCCGATTCATCCCCATCCGAATTGATCCTCATATTGCGTCCGTCTGTGTTGGAATGGATCTGCGAATGTCCTAATTGTTGTTTGCTGCGCGCGCTCGTGACTGCAGTCATTCTAGGCTTGGAGGCCCACGGCAAGCCGAGCTGGTTGTCCTCGCCTTCGCCGTCATGGCCTTGTGATTCTGTTCAGTTGCTGGGACAGTCGGATTCCACCATCGACATGCAGTCAAGGCGCTGACATGGGGGCCTGCTCTCGTCCCCCCGCCATCGCCCTGCAGCAGAGGTGAAGTTCGACAGCGGCTGCCTGAGCTGCATCATCGAGAAGCGGCCCGACAACCAGCAAAGAGCTGGTTACCGGCTGGAGGTTCAGAAGCCGGGCGAAGGTTGGCAAACCCGTGGCTGCTACAACGGAGTTCCGGGAAATTGTTTTTTCTCTCTTCCGGAAAGCAGCCTAGCTGTTTATTATTGAGTGAGCTGAGCTTTATTCCGGGGATTTGTTTTTTCGTCCGGGAAGACCGTTTTAGCAGCCACGGATTTGCCAGCCCTCGCCCAGCTTCCGAGAGGTGCAAGGCTGGGTGGCGTCGCAGGACCTCCGAGGGGGGGGGCGCCCAGACACCCGAGGAGGTCTATGTTTGCTGCAGCGCGCGCCGCCCCAAAGGCGTCGAGCCCTTCTCTGGAGGTACGTTTCGCCCTGGATCCGTGTCCGATGGGCACAGGGTACTCTGGGTTAAGACTTCAAGCCGGGCTCGGTGAGGGACAGGCCCGACTAAAGACTGGCCCTTTCTTTTCCAAGGAGTGACGTATAAGGAGCGATCTGTTATAGATAACGCATAAGGAGAGACACGTAACGCATGCAAGCCTAAGGAACGACCGAGCCCCTTTTGAAAAAGAGGTGTTCTTTATTAAAGCCGCAAGAAAATATTTTTGGTTTCTGAATAAGCGTGGGGGGGTACCCCCTCGACGGGGGTCAACCTCGCCTCGTTGTCGCGCCGCGACGGGGGTCGGAGCGCCTTCGGCGCGCGGCGGCTGCCCGCGACGGAGGTCGATGCGTGGCCGTCGGCGGGGGCGACGCCCCCCTCACGCTGATTATCAGAGCGTGAATTACCTACCCCGCTTTCGCTTCCAGGCAAACCCAAGTCATACCACGCGCCTCCTCGTCAAGCGGCCTGACCAGTACAGGCCGTAGTTTGGCGTCGCCTGGTATCTCTTGGAAGCGAGGGTGGTCAAAAGCGAGGTACGGTAGGTTTGCGTCGTGTCGACCAGCGGCGACCCCAGTGCGGGCGTTCAAGGTTGAACGCCGCCGGCGACCCAGAATCGATCGATGTTGAACGATCGGACGTTGCGGCAGCGGCCGATCGTTCAAGGTTGAACGATCCCCGAGGTGGCAGAAACCATCGCTGGGGTCGGCACGACACGAACCTGCCGTAGGGTTGTTTGCCCCCCAGATTCAGAAACTCGCAGTCGATGGCGCGCCCTGGAGGCCGACGTCGAGGAACGGCGCCCCCGAAGGAGCAGATCACGTTGTGCGGCTTCTGGGGGGGCTGGAGGAGGAGGAGGAGGAGGAGGAGGAGGAGGAGGAGGAGGAGGAGGAGGAGGAGGAGGAGGGGGAGGGGGGGGAGGAGGAGGAGGAGGAGGAGGAGGAGGCGGAGGAGGGAGAGGAGGAGGAGGAGGAGGAGGAGGAGGAGGAGGAGGAGGAGGAGGAGGAGTAGGAGGAGGGGGGGGGCGGGAAAGGCTCAGGGCCGTCTCCGCCGCCAGAGCCTCGACAGACACCCGATGTCGCGTTTTGTGAGCGTCGTGGCCCCCCAGGAGTCCAGACCACTTCCCCAAGACCAGCTTCCCATCCCGAGCAGTTCTTGTTGACGGTCCCAGGGCTCAGTGAGGGCACCCAGAAGCAGAAAATAGCTAAACATCGTCCGCCGTGATGTTCTCATGACGCGAGGGGGGCCTGGGACACCAGAGCCTCCAGAATGTTCGAATCCGAGCGGGTCATCGGCAATCTCGAGCAGGCATAGCGCACGTACAACAAATGGAGATGGACAGCACGTGTGCGAGATCTAGACAGGGAACGGTGGGCACGTGCTGTTGTTGAGTGGGAACCGCAGCGCACGGCAAAACGGAGTTTGATTCGATCGCAAGGTCGACACAAGAGCCTGTGGGCAGACGGAATCTGAAGTTTTCTTACGAACGCAGGTATTCATGAATCGTGGTTCGTATTTTTCAGGCTATTGGGAAGATCTGGGGGAGGATTTCACGAAGTACAAGACCAGGTGAGGGCAGCGGCCCACGCGCTCCACCCCTCGCGGGTCGGCCGCCCCCGGCCGGACACAGCGCGCATTCGCATTCGCATTCGCATTCGCGTTTGCATTCGAGCAGGCACAGCACTTGAGCACCCCAAAGGGGCAAAACGTGATAACATCTCCAGCGGGAGCTTCGTCTGTGAGTGACTTGCGAGGGAGTCTGATGCAGGAACCCTCTCCCTATGGGGTCCGCCCTTTATTTTCAAATCTGTTAGCCCTGTCCTCTGTCAGGGGCTGTGGGGGAGGAAGGCGCTCCTGGCGGCAAATCTTGATGATTATTCCACCGCGACTGCGGTGGCTAGAGAGCTGCGGCATGTCAATTCTTGCTGCCTGGTATAATTCGTGTGATGTCGAATGACCTTGCTCCGGCGATGCTGGGCCGCTCACGCGTTCATACTTATTGGCCCCGACGTCGCACGTTGTGTATTGAGCTTACATGATTTCGGTAGCAATTCAAGGGGGCCTTGCGTAACCTCGAAACTCCAGCTTTAGAGTGCGCCCGCGTGCGCCAGCCTTGGGTATCGATGAGAAAGCGCCGATTTAGTGTCGACGAGCGTCATTGTAGCGTCACTCATTGCCGGTTAGCGTCATTAGTGTCGACTAGCGTCGAGCAGGGTCGGTTAGCATCGGTTCGCTAAAGCAGCCGTCTGACGCCGTCTTTGGGGCCTCTCTGGGCCGACTTGGGGCCCTCTTGGGGAGCCGTCTTGGAGTCAATTTTGGGTCGTGGAGGCCTCTTGGGCAGTCTCGGGGCCCTTCTGGGGCAGTCTTGGGGGCCTCTTGTGCCGTTCTGGGTTCATCTTGGAGGCCTCTTGGGCGATCTTGGGTCAGCATTTGGGGTTTATTGGGCCGTCTCGGACCGTCGGAAATCTCTCAAACATCTAAGCACAATAAGCGATTGAGCCTCTTCGGGCCTTCAGGAGGCATTTTGGGGGGCCTCTTGGGCCGTCTTGGAGATCTCTTGGGGCCTCTTGGCCCGTCTTGGGCCATCTTGGAGCCATTTTCGGCCATCTTGGTGGCTTCTTAGGCAGATTTGGATGCATTTCGGACCCTCTTAGGCCGTCTTGGAGGCCATCTTGGACCATCTTTGTCGAGCTTGGAGGTCATCTTGGCCATCTTGGAGGCCGTCATTGGCCATTTTGGAGCCATTTGGAGCGGGAGCACGTTTACAACCACCTGTGTAAACGCCTTCTGGGCGGCCGGCGCGCTGGGCCGAGCTTTCGGGGGGAGTTCTTCTGGAAAGAACCAGAACTGAATGTCTGTTGCACGAGTTTGCTTTGGTTTCTTTACATTGCTGCCGCTCCACAGCAGCCTCATCCCGACGCTGCTGGGGCTCAAGCTGTTAGCGGCTATGCAACAGCAGTGCCCGGCCAGCGCTCTCGAGGCCGTCATCACCTTCTGGGTAGGTTTCTCTGCCCACGGCGTGATAGGTCCTGCGCTGCTGGCTCCAGGCACCGAGGACTTGGTCCGCGACGGCCCACGGCACGAGCTGGAGCCGACCTCGACGTCCAGCTCGGGCCCGCGAGCGACCACCACCACAGTGGCGACAGCGTGCCACTGCCTGGCGCCGCTGGCGCCAGAGGAGGCCGCCCCGCAGCTGCTGCGGGTGGCCGGAGACGGGCTCGCGGCCACGGTGGAGCTGCCCGTGGCGCTGGTTGGCACCCACGCGGCGCTGGCGGTGGCCGTGGCCTGTGGCGCTGGCTGGGAGCTGGCCTCGCGGCGGAGCTCAGCCAGGCGTGCGCTCGAGCCGCTCGACGAGGCGCGCATCCACGTGGCGTGATGGCGCTGGACGGCGTCTCTCAGGGCCTGCGTGTGTTGGCGCAGCACAAGGAGTCAAGCAGTGGCGAAGCGTCCTGGCTCGCCTATAACCCGACCAAACAATGTTTTAAGAACCTTTTGTTATAACATTTCTGGTTGAAGTAATATTGTCTTAACACATCGGGTTGATGTTCGAAGAACATTGTTTTGTTATTCGGACATTTGTGGGTTCTAAGAACATTTCGTGGTAGGACTATAGGAATGCCGGGACGGTCGGTCCCTGTTCAAAGGAGGGCCTTGGTTGTACGCACGAGAGGCTGCTGCTGTGTCCGAGCTCGGCCGAGCTGTCGTTTTGGATAATGTACACAGATGGTGTCGACCTCTATTCGGAGGACCTGGCGGACTACAGTTCTGCCGGCGGCGGCGGCGATATTTCCCTGGGGCCAAGAACGCGGTCGCGTTCAACCGCGAGTTGCAGCGTGATGCGGCGATCAACGTGGTGAATTGTGGCCGAGGAGAAGCGGTGCTGGATAACGGCGCGGACGCCACGGGCTGGTGGACGCACGACTCCATGGACTGGGTTGGGCATCGGCTGGCGGTGCCGGCGGCTACGGCGGTGGAGGTCTCATGCGTTCGTCGGCGGGCGCGCGGGAAGCACAGCGGGTCCCAGACGGAGGGTGCTGCCGTCGCGGAGCCCGCGCTACCCTTGGCCGATGGCGTGCCCCCGACGCCTCCGACTCTTTGCGAGCGACCTCCGGGCAGCTGGGTGCTTGCCGCGCTGGAGGGGGGCGATGACTTCGGACGCCAGGTCGAGCCCTCGGCGGCGTCGATCTTGCGTGGGCGACACGGGCTCGACAAGATTGATGGTGAGTGGGTGCCCCCAGAGTGCGCGGCACGGGCTGGCGGCACGGGAAGATCATCGCAGCGGATCGCCTCGGGCCGCTTCGCGCCCGCCTGGACGACCGTCTCTTTCTGGGCGGCGAGGTGGGGTGCGCGCGCGCGCCTCCGGCCGCGGCGATGGGCGAGGCGGGGCCCCCCTTCCGCCGGCGCCGAGGCGCAGGAGGACCGGGCTCGAGATTCAAGGAGTGGCTGGCGGGCAGCCCGCGCGCGCCTGCGGTCTCGCAGCGCCCCGCGGCCAGCGTGGGCCAGGCGGCCCCGCCGGAGGGCGGCGGGCCCAGGCTGCCCAAGCCCCGGCATTGGAGGAGTTCGGCGCCACCCCAACATATTGATACACGTCTGCCGCTGATAGAAGGAAAGATGGAACCCCCAAGCGCCCCCATATGGGTATATACGGATTACATTACACTTCAAGCGCCTTCGTACTTCAAGGGCCTGGCGTTGGATCGATGCAGATGAGACGGGCTCGGGATTCAAGGGGTGGCGCAAGGTGGCCCAGGGCCTGGGGCACGCAGGGGGCGCTCGCCGACTCCAGCCTCCATGGGCCGCCCGCTCGCCTGGAAGAGCGTCGCGAGATGTATCGCCGCGAAGGTGTGCCGAATATCTGATCCAGGAGTGGCGCAAGAAGACTGGGATCT